CTACACTACGTCTTTACTTTAGGCTTATTACACCAACACTCACTACACTTGTAAGGTTTCATGGCCCCCTTGCACCCCATCACTAAAATCATAATGGGCAAACAGTAATCAAACTGTTCTATCTGGATAAATGCATTTTGGCGTTTATTACTCCGCCTATTTCGAGAAATCAAGCGTGACGTGACACACACTGGCTTTTATATAGGTTAGATATCATATGATCTTTTAAATAAACCTAAGTGTGACAGTATAAAGGATTTTCAAATTTGTGATATACTGTGACACTTGTAATGTGATTAATTAGCACACTTTTTCTAGTATCTATAGACATTCAATTTTTATGGTCTAGTTGGTCTTTTAATATTAAACGTTTTTCATTAAATGAAAATTTAGTTCTATCTTTAAAAATCATTTAAAGTCCCAAATGACACTCAACTAATTGCATGTAATTAATATTAAATTTGATTCTATCTTTGGCTAGTTCCTTCAAAAGAAATCTGCTAGCAAGCAAAAATACTGTTAAGTTCCAGCTAATGATGAAGATTTTACAAAATAAGAAAAAAACATTCCTATTAAGCATTGTTTGTAGCTCATAACATGGATGATTTACAACAAACTTTTTCTTTTTTTTTTTCGTGTTGTTGTATTAAATTTGTTTTTCCAATTCCATAGTTATATGGTAATAAAACTAATTGCCAAGCAATTATGTGATATTTTATTTATTTACAAGTTTTGAATATTCTTAATTTGATTGACTGTCATATAGTTCATGGATAGAAACAACTGAAGATGATTACTGAATTGTAATAAAGAAACTTGTGGATTAAATGAAAAATGTGCAAGAGAGAAACATGCTCAAATATCTTATTTCTATGAATTATTTACTTTATCTGGAAATAATAAGTAAATATAATCAATTTTGTCTCAGTCTGCATATACTGAATAAGATAATTAAACTTGGAACTCAAATGTAAAAAACAATTTGACTTTTTAAGAATCTATTATTTTGTGGTGACAAGCTGTTTGTAGTACTAACTGATGATTATGAATTTTATTTTTCTCCCAACAGTTTGTTTCTTCACAATATCAACATATGACTAGAAGTGTAAACATAAGTCATATGTTTAGTTTACCACATGCTCTTAAGACAGCAAAATAAATATCTGTCATTTACACTGTGAGATTTGTATAAACAATACAAATTAATCATGAGTTGACCAACTTGAGTTGTCTGTAGACAAAATAAAGAAATCTAGTTCTAAACCTAAATGTACACTGTGTAAAGAAAATCCTATCCAGAAAAGTTGTTACAAACTGAGATATATTTTAAACTTTTTGTTTAATGTCTAAAATAACCTAGTTGATGATACACCCTACTTTTTTTTTTTTTACGTTTTGGATACTTAGGTGGGAGACTTCTGCATTGAACACATAAATTCACATTGGAATTTTTGGTTAGAACAGAATCAGCCTGGAAGAGTCTTGCAAAAATAAGATAAAATTGGACATGACTCATCTGATGTTTTATTATTTTGTTTCGTATTATAATGATAATTTTAAAATGCCTACATCTAAATGTTGATTTATTTTACAAGCCTATTACCGGTGATGTTTGCAGCAAAGTTGGAGGAGAAAACTTTTATATAAATGATTCGAACTTTTCTGCTGCCACCCATGCAGATACCATTACCTAATAGTAACAGATTGAACTTGTGTTTCTCACCCATAAGGTTTATTCACAGTATATGTATAGTTATTAGGAGATTTCTCCAGAAGTTAATGGAAAATTTCTCATCCTTATGAATAGTGTAAAATGGTTTTTCTTTTCTTTTGTTTTTATAAGAGCATAAAGACTTATCAGTTGGTAATGTGGATATATCTTCTTGATAATGACTGTATTTTAACTTAAAGTTGTATTTACTGTATTAATTTTTTAACTGTAACTGTAAAATGCTGTTTTATTTTAACTTTCTGTGAAAAGTGACAAGTGATAATGATGATCGTCAAAAAGTAATGTATTTGAATATAACTAAAAGTAAGTTTTAAACACTTCAACAGATGTGCATGTTTTTGTCAGTTTTTTTTAAATTTATGAATCATAAAATTACCTTTATCCAGCAGTAAAATATTGTTGAACTTGCTTACTTGCCATGAACAAATGTAGGTTTAATTATGTAAAACATCTTTAATAACAAATATGTAGGTTTTATTGTGGAAATCATCCTTAATAACAAATGTGGGTTTAATTATATAAAACATCCTTAATAACAAATGTAGGTTTAATTATGTAAAACATCTTTAATAACAAATATGTAGGTTTTATTGTGGAAAACATCCTTAATAACAAATGTGGATTTAATTATATAAAACATCTTTAATAACAAATGTAGGTTTTATTATATAAAACATCTTTAATAACAAATGTAGGTTTTATTATATAAAACATCTTTAATAACAAATGTAGGTTTTACTATATAAAACATCTTTAATAACAAATGTAGATTTTATTGTGGAAAACATCCTTAATATAGTAACAGTAAGATGTTACTTCTTTTGTAGTCATAAATCAGATAAGCTCTCTTTTGTGCTTAGATGGCTCTTCAAGGAAGGTTTTATGGTAAAGTATCACAGCCACATCCCATTATAATGTTACTTGTTCCATCACAAGCTTGTCAAAACAACAAAATGTCATGCTTCTAACCTGAAGGAGAGCATTGTGTATTGAATGATGAAAAAATAAATAAATCTGTTTAGTAGATTCCATAAGTAATACACTTTTTATGTCTCAACAGAAAAATAAATTATGTAGTTGGAAGTACATATATAGAAAATAACAAAATGTGTTTTTTATTCATATGCATTAATTGATGAGCTTGTATTATGTTACAGAAAAACATTTATTTATGAGGTTTGTTAATCATTCTTAGAGAAATTAAATGCAAACAACATTCTGAGTATGAAACAGCCTTCCAAATTTGATTTCATCCTAAGAAAAAGTTGTATTACTTTGACTTTTTTTTTTCTATAACTAATAGATAAGTTTGAAGTAAAACAATATTTCAGCTATTACAGTGTAGGTCAGTATTGACCAAGATGTGTACAATATTTGAGTATTCTGACCAGGAGTTAAAAAGTATGCCTCTAAACAATAATTTTGTACTAATGGAACTTAATGGTAACCATTAAAAGTAGTTGCAAACAGTTGCATCTATACAAATTCTTATGAGAATATAACTGATTTTTGTGTGAGAAGACAGTAAACTTTTGTACGATTTGCTATGAATTGTAAAAATATCTGCAGATGTACTATATCAGTATGTTCATTACTTAAAACTTTTGAATCTCTTCTAATGGAAGCCTCAGTGTGCTTGTAACTCAAATTGATTTACCTTCTGAAAAGTGTTTACTGACATGATAAATTTAATTCAATTTAAAAAGGTTGCACATAATCTGGATTGGAAACTGATATGTACTTGAATATGGAATACTAAAAAACACAAGTGTAAAATAAAAGATTATAGATATAATTACATGATGGTACTCATTTCGATTTGCAATTGTATGGATGCCACAGGTGTTCTCATATGGATTGTATTTTCCTTTTTATTATTATTTTTAACATATTTATTACAGAAATAATTTGATTAGACTATAGTCATAGTGAGAGATATAACTTCAAATATGTGTCCAAATACCAATTTGTTTTCGTTGAAAATCTTGTTTTATTTGTTTTTTGTACATCAACGGCAGACACAACAGATGAATATAATTACTTGGAGTCACCCCTAAAGTTGGACCTACTGTATACATGAAGTTTGCATTCCCGAAGCTAATAGTTAAAAAAGGAAATGAACAAGTACTATACTCTATACTTACACCAAAACAAACCACCACATTCAAATCTTGCTACCAGAGATTAGAAAACCCTATACCAGTTTAAGAAAGAACTGCTCCATAGTCCATTACCAGCATACAAATAAAACTCTGACAATCATACTTAATAGATATAACTACAAGACGTTTTCAACAGTGATCCTACTTTCAATTCTGAAAGAAAAATACAAAATCTGAAGAATTGATATTGGAAGAAACCAAATCCCTCAATCCTGGATGTTATGCTTCTTAACTTTGTATTAACAAAAATTGACAAACCAGAAAACCCTCTGAGACCCATCAATTATTGCACCATTAAAAGACCATTTTAGAACATTGTGTTCAACTTAACTAGTTTTGCGTAAAAAATCTGTGGAATACTTTCTTCGATATTACAGGCAAGAAAACTTTATATCAATAACCACAAACTGACATTCTGTAGCATGAACTATACTTTCTTTGAACTCCATCCTAAAACATATAACCATTTATACAAAAAACTTATCTCCAGCTTGAAGGTTAATTGTACGCTTATTCTAGCATTGACAGCGACATCATAATCGTTTTCGGCTCTCAAAGACGTGATAAATAGCCAAATCAGAAGGTTCAGACATGGCAATCACTAATTTAAAACTTATGATCAGAAGTAGAGTAACCAGTCCGTAGTTCTTTAATCATGTGTAAGAAGAAGAGATGAATGTCAACATGAATAAGAGAACATGTGAATAATGATAATGGCCTCGCGGAATCAATAATAATAACGGGCAAGACGTCATATACACTGAGTGGTCACAAGTAAATAGACACCTAATTTTTCGTCATTTAATAGATTTATGCTAACTAATTTGTGTTCACAGAGCACTATATAAGTGAAAATGGCCCGCACACTAATTATCTTGTGCTACAACATGCCTAGAACTCAAGGTTCTCTCGAATTGTTAGAGGAAGGATAGTTGGTCAAGCAGATGGTGGAATAAGTCAGCGGCAAATTTCGCAGAATTTGGGAGTCCCGCTTTCGACAGTCAACAGAATCATCGTGCAGTTCAGGAAACACGGCAAGGAAACAACTGAGCAGCGTCCGGGTCGTCCTGGTCCATCGGAGAGAACAAAAAGGGCTGTCAAGAGGAGCATCGAAATGGATCCCAGATTAACGACTGCAAAAGTGGCCAAAGTTGGTGGGATGAACCCGAAATCTGTTCTCCACCGATTGGGTTATAGTTGCAGAGTAGCTAGACGGAAGCCCTTATTAAGACCTTCCAA